CACCTATGAAAAGAAGGTTATAGAATTTATTTAGATAAATCGGGGAAAAATAAACCTCTTTTGCTGTAACTGTCTGTCTGGATCTTGTCAGAGTGATCTTTGGATAAGAATTAGCCAGTTAAGTACCTCAATTTTCCACTTGATTGGACGTACAAGACAGCAAAAATGACGTGTAGATTAGTCCTACAATTTTTTAAAAATAAATTTTAAGACTCCTACTTTACAAATTTAGTCACTGCTTTTCATGCCATCAAGTCATTTTTCTGAATTTCTGATTTACATGTGCCATATAGATGCGCTTAAATAATATTCTACTTTGTGTTTTTCTTTTGGTGATGACATTATTGGGAGAAATCCCCAAATGTCATCTCTAGTTGCAGATTTCCACTCTTGCTGATTCCAACATCTTGAATCCCTGCATTCTAGCAACACCTCGGATTCCATAAGCCAATGGCTCTAAGGTTTTAATTGAAGTAATTTCTCACTTGAGACCCAGGTACAGCTTCTCCTACAAACTGGTGACATCATGCGGTGGCCAAAATGCTACCATAACACTACCATGATAGTTTTTTAAAGGACTTTGCAATATGAACTTGGAAGATTTTTATTTACCATAGGTCCAGGGTTGGCACACTTTCTCCATAAAGGCACAGGTAGTAAATATTTTAGGTTTCTCGAGCCATGTCCTCTGTGTTCTTCTGTCCTTGCAATGCAAAAGCAGCAGGGACAATAGGTAAGTGAGCAACCACTGCTGTTTCCCACTCCAGTCCCTTTGTGGACATGGAAACCTGAACTCACTTACTCTTCATATGCCATGAAGACTCTTCTTTTTTGCCTTTTAATCATTTACAAATTTACAATCATTGTTTGTAAATTGGTTTTTGCTGTTCAGAAACACACCCTGGGCCGGATTTGGTCAGCAGACCATAGTTTGCTCACGCCTGCTGTAGAAGTTCAAATCATTTATGTATTCTCTTGGTTGTATAACCAGTATTGGGCAAAAGAAGGAGAAAGGTTTTTATTTATTTTTTTTTAAAGATTTTATTTATTTATTTGACAGAGAGAGAGAGAGAGTACAAACAGGGCGAGGGGCAGAGAGACAGGGAGAAGCAGACTCCCTGCTGAGCAGGGAGCCCGATGTAGGACTCGATCCCAGGACCCTAAGATCATGACCTGAGCTGAAGGCAGACATTTAACTGACTGAGCCACCCAGGTGCTGCTGGGTGGCTCAGTTTTTTAAGACAAAGGTTTTTAAAAAGAGAAAGGTTTTTAAAAAGCAGCCAAATGATTCTTTATTAAGACATGCATTTCACACGGCTCTGCCATGTTTTTTTGTTTTTTGTTTTTTTCAGATGTCTTTCTATAATTCTTTACATTTGATAGATTAAATACATTTTGGGGGGATTCTCTCCTTGACACAGCTGTTGTGTGATATGCAGTCCTTTTTTAATCTTGTCATCAGGAGACCTTTGTACCCCTATATAAAGGCTATTAATTATAAATGCTTTCACCGTGCATCTGTTAAAACACAGTATGCAACAATGAACCAATTAACATTTTATATTTTCTAAACTAGAAAGGAGCAACGTTAAATCTGCTTTGTAATGGCATAAATTCACTGGAACATTTGTTTCAATTTTCAGGATGGGTATTGCAATAACATTCAATACCCATGCTATGAGTAGTATGGACAAACTAACACATTTACTTCATTATGTTAAACTCCCATATTCATTGGAATTCTATTCGGTTTTATTACTTATGTTATCTGGTTATGGTTTGAGATCAAGGGGCAAATTGTGACTGAGTTTTCTATAATTTCCTCGTACAAAACAAAGATTTATCAGATTAAGTAATATCTTACGCGACGATTATAGGAATTGTTACATAAACGCTTTCGTTGCTTTTTGGACTCTGAAAAATTAAGGCATGAAAAATAAATATCTGTGATATGCACAGACAGTTTCGATTCATCCTAGACTTTGAGGCAGGGAATCTTACTCTGAGCAGTGACATGCAAATGGGACCTAAGCCATGCATTTGACAATTAGTGCTCCTTCTCCAGACTGTGCTAATGTTTGGTTTATCTCTTACCATTGCATATGGTCTAAGGACGTTAGTGCTTCTTGAACCAGCCTCAGAAGGAATGTTCCATGTTGATAGAGCAAGGAAGCAATGTCTTCCTGTCTAGTTAATGGTTATCCACGACGAAATGGATTTCCTATGCAACCAGGGACTTTTCCGAGCCTTAAGCATGCTACTGTTCATTGTCAGCATCCACCAGCCACGCACTGCTCTGCCTGAGACCAGACTGCTGGGTTTTAAGGACAGGAGGCTCGTGTCCTGGATGGAAGAGGCCCAAGAAGATGCTCCTGTTAGAAGTGGTCAGTGACTTTTGGAGAGTTAAAAAAGAGAAGCCACAAGTCCCTCACAATTATTTCCTGATACCCTGCCTCACTTCAGAAGGATTTGACAAGTTTGCAAGAATACATTGAGACTAATAACAAGAAAAACTACAAAAAATGAGGCAAGAGGGCAAAGGAAAATAAATTGAGGAAAATGATAGGAAAGCAAGGGTAGCATCAGTAAACCGAGTATTTATTTTAAGTTATATATAGTTTCCAGAGCTGGGCCACAGATTCGACTCTAAAGTTTTCCGAGTTGCCTAAAAATGAAAGAAACTTGGTCCCTAATACCCATCGAGTATCCTCCAGAAACAGATTAACAAACCGAGAAACATAACCCCCAAGATGGGTCCTCGGCCAAGGATCAAGATATGATGTGGGAGACTGCACTCTAGCCACGCTTGTCCCTGAGTTTCTCATGTTAAGTTGGAAAAGCAAGGCTGATAAATGTCATCAAGTTCTCGATGTCCATTATCTCTCTTTTACTTCATTTATGTCATTTTGATCAAATGGATATATGCGTATGTTTGAAAATCAAACATACAGATGGTTTTATAATAAAAAAGTAACATCTTATAGGGGCAGGATATCAATCCCCCCTTTTTCCCTTCTCTCTCAGCTCCACCCTGACCATCCAATTCTTAACATTTATGACTTTACTATTCCATTGTCCAAGCTGCATGACATGTATATTTGGTTACATAATCTTCTGTCCATTTTCATTAGTAGGATTGTAAACTTGCATCAAGTGGATGTTTACATCGCTGTGGCTACAGGGGATTGAAAATGCATTCGCTATACTTAGAGGCGCAAAGGAAATGAAATTTCTTATTCCCTGTAACTGATGTGATCTTAATCATGAACTCTGACCCTTTCGTGGAGCTGTGAGAACATGCCCGTGATGATGCATCAGTGTCACTGTGTCGTGGGTTCCCAAGATGGCTTCACACATCCAGGTTCGGCGATTCACTGGAAAGGCTTACAGGACTCCGTGAACAGTCCTATACACAGTAAGATTCCCTAGCGCAGACCACCATTCCAGACTCCCGGGGGGTAAAAAGGTGTTCAGCACAAACCAGGTTGTCCCCCCAGACATTTATGAGGCTGCCAGCCCTCTGTGTCAATAAGTGAATGTGAGCACTCCTCAGATCCAACTTCTCAGGTGCCAGCCCAGGGCCACCCTGGAAGCGGCCCCCCTAAGGACAGCAGCCTCAGGCTGCTAAAGCAGCCCCATCTTCTGGCTGAAGCAGTGGCTTTTGGTTTAATGATCTGTGAATTCAGAAGGTAGCGCCTCTTGAGATGGATGCTCAATTCCCAGATTCCCTCTGCTTTCCCTTGTTTTTCTCTAAAGTTATGTGCGTGCATGTGTGTGTGTGTGTCTGTGTGTGTATCTGGTGCACCCGTGTGTGGTAAGTGTGTGGTGTGTGCGTGTGTGTGTGTGCGCATCTGTGTGTCTGGTGCACCTGTGGGTGTGGGTGTCCTGGTGCAGGGGAGCGAAAACGAGCGCTCATGGAGACCCAGGAATGGCTGAGATCCTTCCGTGCCTTCGAAGTTTTCGCTGATCCATGCAGGAGCGCGGCCAGGAGGCTGCTTGGTCTGGCTCGTGCAGCAAGATGGGCCACTGCTCATAAAAACCGCCGGCGTGGTCCCGGTGTCTTTGGTCGTAAAATCCCCACAGCCACCACCTCTTGGCTCTAACCTCCCTCTGCCCGGCTGGGCACAGGCCCTGGAACGCAGCTGCTGGAAGCTCTGTCGTCCCCGCACCTGGGGACACCTACCTCCCGTCCTCCTCCTTCGCCGCAGCCTGTTGCAGATTTCCAGAAATGCTTGGAAATTTCTCCTCAGCCAACCCTCTGTCTTCCATTCTCCTTACTGTTACGGGTTTACATGGTGCTCGTTCAAATGTCGTCTTCCCAGTGCCTCAGGAGAGGGAGGCGGCACCCATGCCTGCTCAGCCTGCCAGCTGTGACAGGTGGCCCTACCCGTGTGCCTCCACAGGCTCCACGACTGCCCTCGAAGGGTCCTTCTGAGTGGGATGGCATGGGTGTTTTCATTTAGAAGTCATCAGTTGGGTGCCTGGTGGCTCAGTCGTTAGGCGTCTGCCTTCGGCTCAGGTTGTGATCCCAGGGTCTTGGGATCGAGCCCCGCATCGGGCGCCCTGCTCAGCAGAGAGCCTGCTTCTCCCTCTGCCCCTACCCCTGCTCGTGTTCTATCTCTCTCTCTCATAAATTAATTAATTAATTAATCTTTAAAGTAAATAAATAGAAGGCATCAGTTGAAATTGCAGTGAACTTAAGAAAAGTATTTCAGTTTTTAGACAATTGAATTAGCCGCAGTAGGGAGACTACTACATGTGAATGTATTACGTGTTTGGATCAATATGCTAAAGATCATCTTAGTGTGCTTGTGAAAATAATTTTGATCTACCAGATCCCCCAAAAGGATCTTGAGAAGTCCCAGGTTCTGTAGATTATATTTTGAAAATCACTGGACGACACATTACTTTCATTATCATTTTATAATATCGGTAGATTTTAGAAAACGTACATTTGTGTTACATTTCATGCACCAAGTACCTGTTGTTTTTTCTCAAAGGGTCCCTCTTGCTGGGACGATGTCTTAATCCCAAACCGGATGACCGGTGAATGCCAATCTGCAAACTGTCCTGGGACTACAGCCGTAAGTACCTGGTCAAATCCATTTTTTTCGTTATGGCCTCTTCAGTGGTTAGTAGGAAAATAGAATAGAGACAAGAAGGTTAACTGATTTTTCTTCCATCTGATAGTATTCAGCCAAAGTGTCATCAGATTCAAAGTATTATTTATATAGTCACCCCAAATTCTACCTTGTTCGTTGCCATCCAGTGTCATTTTCCTAGAGGCTTAACCACGTGCGGTGACTGTTTTGAAACATGTCAATTTAAACACCTTACAGAGTGATATTTATGGAACATAAAGAAGAGCCACTTGGGAGCCTAGCAAAAGAAAGTAACAAAGATATAAGGTTAATCTTTGTGCTGGTGCTGTGATATTTTGTATTTATATTCCGCATTGTTCCAAATTGCTTTCTTTCTTTATCTCTTTCTGCCTTTCTTTTTGTGTCATAGTGAGCTATTAGTAAATCTCATGTGCGTGAGCAGCTCTACAATTGGATGACTGTCTTCTGCTCTCTGCACTCCCCTTACTCTTTGCAAACATATGCCATATGTTGATGTTTCATATAGAGCAGATATTTAGTAAAAGCGATCCTAAGTACTGAAATTATTTTTTAAATCATTTTATATTCTGGTCATGTTTGTAATTTGTATATTGCTTTACTTTTTATCTCGAAAATTCCTGGATCTCTCATAATCTGACTGTATGTGTCTCCTGAGCCGTAAATACTGTTACGGTGCCAACCTAAACGTCAATGTTAGTTCACAGCTGCCAGTTCGTATCTGCTCCCAGGAACAAAGTCTGTCAATAGCAACAGGTAGAGTCTTTGAGCTGGAACCATTAGGCGTGCCTTGTCTCTCCAGTCTGCAGGGCGGTTGCGAGGTACGGAGGGAGAAGTGAGCAGCACTAGCAATCATTTTCCATCAAACAGGGGCGAGGACCATGAGCAGATTTTTATTAATGCAAATCCTGAAGAAAAATAACGACTTGTTTGTCAGTCACATATATCCAGGCATAATATAGTCTTGTAACTTTGCTACTGAGATGAAAGGAAAGTGAATGTATTTATGGGGCACAATTCTTCAGTATAATTACATACCCACCCATGTATGTATACAAGTGCAGTATGTATATATTATAGTGTATAATATCTCTTAATTACAATTATATGTAATAGTAATTATATCTCCATCCATCGATTCATTCACCCATCTACACACATGTGCGTCATCTGTTATGTGTAACACTGTGGTCTCTGTATCATTTTTACAATCATGTGAGGTCCTTTGAAAACCTACTTCAATTCCTGATAGTCTGACTGCCTCTCCCAGACCTTGATATTAATTGGCAAGATTCAGTCACAGTAGAATAGACACTTTTGCATCTTTAAAGATTTAGCTGCAAATCAGTCAAAGGGGGAAACTGTTGAGTGGGACTGAGAATCCTTTCCTTTGCTTGTTGCATATTCTACTTACCTTAGGTATCAGTACATGGAATTCAGCGTAAATTAAGTTATATCGCAGCTCTATATCTGACAGCAGGGTGATCTGATATCCTTCAAAATCCTTTCAGTACCCACCATATAAAAATACTGGATTAAATTACAAACATGTACTTTTAAAAGAATGGCTGTGCTGACAACATAATAAGGAGGAGTATATTCGTCAAAACCAGGAGAAAGCTGGACCCCAGAGGGGAGACTGTCAGCTGACGCGAGCCGCCACTTTGGCAGCAATGACTGGTCACTGGGGGCTGGAGCCTCAGGTGGGCAGGTGTCCATGGGAGGCTGCAGCTGAGTTAATGGCTTCATCAAGGTGGCAGATGAAACCACAGAATCCTACATAGAGCTAGTACCCATAAAACATGATACCCTTGTGGGATCCGCTGGAGAGGAAGGCGCTAGCTTCCCGGAGAGGCGGTCTGTGCTGGTCCCTGGCTCACTCTGATCCCCTGGTCGGTGTTCCTCACCCATGTGCACTGCTCTGCTGGCCGCCGCCTCAGGTTTCATGATGGACCAGATGCCAGGCAAATTCACACTCCCCGAGGGGGAGGAAGTCCCTACCCACCCTCCCAGACCACTCTAGGGTTGCAGACATCGTCCCCAGCCCAGACTGAGGTCTGGACTTAGAATTAACTCTGAATTCCAGACAAGAAGTTCTGTCCACAGAGCCCTTCAGTGTGTTTCGGGGGCCCCCTGAGGAGCCAGGCAAATGAGCCCCCTCCATGGTGCCTTGGGGTGTGTGCTGCTGGCCCTGAGGACCACCCCCTGCAGCTGGCAGCCACCCATTTCTCTTTGCAGCCCCCCCAACAGGACACCAGTGTGGCAGCGTGACTTGTGATTGCGTGGTGCGGGGCATACTGAGGAAGTGGGTCCAGGATAAGGTGATTCACAAGCCAACTGAAATCATCACCGCCGTCAACTACAGACTTAAAACAAAACAAAACAAAACACATAGAGATGGCTCTTGTGGTTTTTGTTTGTTTGTTTTTTATTTTTCTTTTAATCCATTCTGTCTCCTTATGTCTTGGATTGGAGAGTTTAGTCCATTTACATTCAAAGTAATCATTGATAGATATGTATTTATTGCCATTTTAATCCTTGTTTTGTGGTGGTTTTGAAGATTTTCTCTGATTCTTTCTTGTCTTTCATGTTTTGCTGATTTTCTTTTGTGATATATTTGGATTTCTTTCTCTTTATTCTTTGCATATTTGTTAGTGGTTTTTTTGATACATGGTTACCATCAGGTTTGTGTCTAAACTCTTCTGCATATAGTAGCCTGTGTTAAGCTGATGGTGGTTTACCTTTGAACCTATTCTTTTCTCCTCTCCTTCCCATGTTTTAGGTATATGTTATTATATTTTATACCTTTTTTTTTTTAGAACATGTTATTTATTTATTTGACAGAGAGAGACACAGCAAGAGAGGGAACACAAGCAGGGGGAGTGGGAGAGGGAGAAGCAGGCTTCCCGCCGAGCAGGGAGCCCGATGCGGGGCTTGATCCCAGGACCCTGGGATCATGACCTGAGCGAAAGGCAGATGCTTAATGACTGAGCCACCCAGGCGCCCCATGTGAGCTCTTAATTGCCCAAAATCACAGCAGTTAGGACATGGGCCCCCTGGCCCGGTGGAGGTGATACAGATGCAGATCAAGGGGGAACAAATACATTCTGAACAAATTAACAAACAACATATGAGATTGTAGGTTAAGATTACCCCAAAAGCCAAAGTATACATTATTAAAGATTTTTTTGAAAAGCATTATTAAAAATAGATTTTGTTAAAAGGTTCAATAACTCAGAAAAATATAGCATTTTAAAAATTGTATGATCTTAGTAACATGATCAAACCCAAAATATATTAAGGACAAATTCTCAGGATTAATTAAGTATATGGATAAATCTGGCACGAGGGCAGGAGATAGTAACATTGACCTCTGAGGGGCTGGGAGCTCCAGCAGCATAATCAGGAAGTATTTGGCAAATCAGTACAACCAGTGACCAGGGTTGCATCGTGAACGCTGCACCCAACACCTGGAGATGCCTCCTTTTTTAAGCATATATGGAACATTTCAACAATTGATCATGTTTTGGGGCATTAAGGCATTTAAGTAACACTTACAAAAGCATAACCATAAAGTCTCTGAAACATGGAAATTCAATTAACGTAGCCAGTAAAAATCCAAATGGAAATATGAAACCAAACAACAATGAAAATACACCACATATCAAATCTTTGGGGATGTTGTTAAATTAGAATTTAAAGGGAGTATTTAGGACCATCAGTGCTTATTTTATAAAAGAAGAGAGAATAAAATTATTTAAATATAATGTTTAAAAGGTAGAAAAAGAAACTGTCATATCCAACTATTTTTCTCTCATTTTTAGTGAACACTAAATAAAGGAATTGAAGGCATGCACACTTTTTTGTAACCAGTGGCTGGCGGCGCTCTCAGTGTGAGAAATTTAATTCATTCTTTCTCTTTCTTATCTTAAAACATTTTTTTTGTGAATTACATTTTTACAGTGCAGCTAAATATAAACATTGACTCCTGTGTTTTCTAAAGCATTGTGTGTGGTGTTTATTTCTTAAGGAGGTGAGAAGATAGGCATTTTTAAGTAGTTTATCATATTTAAATTTGCAGGGTATTTTAGGTTTTTGACAGTATTTTATGCACTATATATTATATTCTCATTAAAAAGTTAAATTTCTATCACTTGAGAAAAATATCCATATACTTAAAATTCAAAAGAACAGGGTCACTAATATATTCATAATTAATATTTATACACTTAAAGATAATCTATTTAGATCATTTTAAATACAGTGAAATCTAACCTTGGTTTTTAAGAGTACAAATATAAACTTGACCCTAGCTACACTTTAGACAGAGCAATCTGTACCTAATTCAGTTTTACACTAATCGCTGTTCCCTAAAGAAGGAGCATAGCATTAGTTCTGAAAGGTGTCTTACCTTTTTATAAAAAGAATTCTAGTCAGCTCAGAGGGTATATATGCTTCTGATTTAAAGAGGGACAAAAATCACTTAGGATTTTCTCCATTAGTGAAATTAAATCAACTTTGGATATGACATAAGACCTTAAATTTTCTTTGTAAATCTTTTTTATGTTTTATGTATGATTCCTTAAGCAACCAAGATATTTGTGTTTGTCCATGTGCTGGGGTTATGTGATTTACTTAGTTGTACACATAGGCTAAGGCATGCCCAGAAGTCCTACTCTCCGGTGTTATTTCTGAGTTCCAAATTATAACTTTAAAGCGAGTATCCCCTGTTTATCAAACACTCCCCTGTGGAAACCTCTGACTTAGTAGTGCTTTTGTGGTAATGAAGGGTTTCTAAGCCAACTGTGAGAGTGTTGCCTTTTCCCTCACACTTTATAATTGGACAGCAGGGTTTAGGTGAAGGGGATAGTGCCTTAGATGACAAGGAAAAGAATTAAATCATGGCTTTGTCCTAGTTCGTTCAGGCTACTATAACAAAAATACCATAAACACGGTGGCTTATA